CATTAGTTAACAACAGAGTCTGAGTAGGTGGGTTTTTCTAAAACTCTAGAACAGGTAATATTTCCCATGTACTCACTGGTTTTTGTGCCACCTCTTGAGCTGTAACATCAGCCAGGTAGTTTCCTCTTTTGTCTTGAGGTCTGGCCCACAGTGGGCAGCATCTGTCTCTCAAGCTGTAAAGTCACCTTGTCTTTAATCTTGTCTCCTTCAGAGCCTGGCCCTGTCTGACTGCCTATAATATTTTTAATCTAACTCAACTGCCTGCAATATTTTTCCTCTGAAGAAGTAACCCGGACTGCCATGAGGGTGTATGGGTGATGACCGCTCTGGCTACTTCAGGCTGAAATGGGTCTCAGTTGTTGACCGGCAGTCAGAGACATTCTTCAGAGGTTCTACCTAAAAGGCCCTCAGTAGACACCAAGCATTTTTATTTTGGGTAGGCGGAACTGTTTTAAATCTGGAGGAGGCAAAGTCAAAGAAACAATTAAACATGCATAACACTAGTCAGAACATTTTGTAGGTCCATTAGCAGATATCTCTTTAATGTGGGGTTTAATCTTCTATGGCCATTGGGTACTGGGGCACATGAATTGCTGGACCTATGGAAAACTACTTTCTGGTTGGCAAATGGGGCCACTGGCTGGGTAACTGACAAATTTACATGAGCATCTATTAAAAGTTTAACAGGCTTTCTTTTTATATTGGCAGTTAACATGGGTTCCCTCAGACTGAGAGGGAAGACACATGACCACCTCAATCTGAAACTTCCTCTGACTCCATCATAAACTTTCTTTTTCCCTCTCTAGCTGTGGACATTTACCTTCTTTCCTGTAGGCTACTAGTATCAACACTCATTTTCCATCTATAATTCCATTCTGTGTCCTTTCTACTATGAAACACCTCAACTCAGACAAATTCATTCCTGCAAAACCTTCTAACTTCTGCAGCTTGTGTCAGATATCTGGGGTCCACTGTGTAAGGTACAACTTCTTGGTTCCTGCAGGTACTCTTGCCCAAGGAACATGAATATAGCTTTCCTTGTAATGAGGCAGGAAACCCAGAGAAGGCTCAGATCACCTGGGCTCTATTAGCTGGACAGTTATATTAGGCTTTAATACATGTTTCTATAGACAAAATCTTGTGGATCCCAGCAAAAGGAATCATAATCTAGCATATAAAATAAAGTTATTAACCTACCAGAGAATTATTTATATTACCTTGAGAAAGGATAAAAGAGTTGCTTTTTTTTAAAAAAAAGGACTACATAATCAAGTAAAAAAGGTAAATTGAGACTGTTGAAGGGGCCAGACATATAGCTCTGTGGAACAAACACCTGCTTCATAAACATTGAACTTTTTGTAGGATGAAAACTATGTAAAAAAATGTACAGAATAGTATACAGAAAACTTTCACTAAAATTAAAGGTTAGTCAAAAGATTACACACAAAATATAAAACTAAGGCAGAAACTTTGGGTCACAAAAGACAATAAGAAGTGGCAACTCATCAGGGAAGGATAGAGTGTGGGTTTGAAAAGCTGTCACATTTAATTCTGATGAAAGCAATGTACATCACACTGAAAATATTTCTCTACTGAGTAAATTTCTCAGAGCCCCTTTCATATCTCGATTCCTCAGACTGTAGATAAAGGGATTCAGCATGGGTGTGACCACACTGTACAACACAGTCACAATGATATCTTTGTCATTAGTGTTATTAGATGAGGAGAAAAAGTAGATTCCCATAATTCCTCCATAGTAAAGAGAAACCACACAAAGGTGAGAACCACATGTCGACAAAGCTTTGCAGATTCCCTTGATTGAGGGAGCCTTCAGGATGGTGGCTCCAATGTGACCATAAGACAACAAAATGCACATAAATGGCAGGGTCATGACCACACTTCCTAGAATGAGGATGACCATCTCATTGATGGTGGTATCTGAACTGGACAGCTTGAGCAGGGCAGAGAGGTCACAGAAGTAGTGGTGGAGAGTGATATCTCTAGAAAAAGAGAGGAAGGATAGTAGAATAGTATGCACAAGGGCGTTGGCAATGGATAACCCCCAGGACACAATTACTAGCAGGAGACAGAGGTTCCGACTCATGATGGTGGAGTAGTGCAGGGGGTGACAGATGGCCACATACCTGTCATAGGCCATTGAGGTGAGAAGGAAGCTGTCAATATCCGCAAACAATGTGAAAAAATATGATTGGGAAATGCACGCAGCATAAGAGATAGATTGACTGTGGGTCAGCATATTCATGAGCATCTTTGGGGCTGTGACTGATGAGAAATTGATGTCGGTGAGAGCCAAGTGGCTGAGGAAGAAGTACATGGGGGTGTGGAGGCGGGAGTCCAGCCTGATGAGCAGGATGATGAGCAGGTTCCCCAGCACTGTGGTCAGGTACATGATGAGGAATAGGGCATAGTACATGCCCTGCTCTTCCAGGCTGATAGGGAGCCCCAGGAGGATGAATTCAGACACAGTACTCTGATTATCCTTGTTCATACTCTTCCTCCTTCTCCTCTGCCTTTTTCTCTTGTCTTCCTTCTCTTTCTTTCTTGTTCTTCTCCTTTCTAGGCATTAAAAGAGAAATAGAAATCTGAACAAAAAGAAGTCATTGTGAGTTTTCAATAAAAAAAAACTGGTTTGGAAATTATGTATATTTTCATTTTAATGCAAACTTAACACACTATAATGGGCTAGTGGTGGCAAAGGATATTGTTTACCTAGAATTGAAATATGCTTTCAACAAGCCAAGAAAACACCACTATGGTTATAAGATCACACCAAGTTCTACTTCCTTTAAGAAAATTGTTTCCACAAAGCATTTTCCCCCTCATTTTGCTACTGAGATGTGAATAAAATGTTACTTCCTTATTACTACATTGGTTATCTTTCAACCTAAACCAAATCATCATGGTTCAAATCTTTTAGCACCAGGATATTCTTGACTTTTCTAACCACATCTTCAATCATCCAGAGAATTTTTTGTCTATGTCATTATTCTGTTCTCAATATTACAACACAGACTTTCTGCTGAGGACTTTAAGTAGTTGATTGTCAAATTTCTTACATGTCCAGTACATCACTCATACTATTATCTTACTCTATCATGATAGTCAGTGTTAGTATGTCCATATGAGGTACAAAGTAATAAATAATTGCATCTTACTTTGTAGCAGCTTAGGTAAAAAAAATTGTAGTTTTCAGGAAAAATAAAAAAGGCCTATTGAGAGGCCACAAACTCTCTACTGCTGTCCATCCCTCTCACTTCCAAAGCCCAGGGCAACCTCCTCCAGCCTCACCAGGACACTTTCACTGTTCATGAGCCAGAACCTGGCAAGAGAGAGTGATGTCTCTACCAAAAAGAGAAGCCTCCAAAGGAGGCCCATTCACTACAGAGTCATAGAGGGAGGAGATAGGCCTGGAAGACTCCAATATAAACATGATGAAGTCGTTGTGGGAGGATAAATCTGTACAGTTTGAGATCTTCATTCAAACTAGTGAAAAACTGCTCTAAGCTGTCTTTCTCAAAATGCCAGGAAGCTGTTGCAATAGATAATATTTTCCCAATTCCTGTAGTATATGTACCAGACTGTAAAAGGATCACTGGACAGGAACAACTTAGCACAACTATAAAATAGATACAAAGAGCCTCAAGATGAAAATAAAATTGGAATTAATGGTACACAGAAATTCTGTGATGACCTGGCACTTGGTCCAGCCAGCATTAGGGTTTTGATCATTGCATGGAAGATCAGCCCACAAAATGTACATTTTCCAAGCCAGAGTTCAAAGATGGCATGACAGAATTAGGATGTGACAGCATAGGAAACTAAAGATTCAAATAACCAAGATGGAACAAGAATTGAAGGAACCAGGATGATTGAAGGTTTTGACAAGTTTACTTTTAATTTTGCAAAGAATCCAGGTCAAAAGTCAGTAGATCTAGAAATAGCCATTGTCTACTGGAATTTAGTGTTTACTGGAAGATTTCAATTTTTAGACTTAGGGACTAAAGTTTGTTGGAAAATAATAAATGATCAATACCAAAAGATGATTGAAATATTCTTTAGACTTCAGTACAATGATTGCAAATCATTGTCTAATTACAATGAAGGAGCATTGTCAGTTCTCATTGATGACATTGTAGAATTTGCATGCCCTCAAATGACTAGGACAAAAAATACAGCAATGTAGCACTAAAGGAACCTTCTCGAATGTACATATCCTATACAATAAATCAAATGGAAAATTACAGTCAATTTCTGCTTCTAAGACTGAAATGAAGACTAGTCCTCACTATTCAGCCTGAGGGTTTAGACAAAACCGTAAGGATACATTTTTGGACCATATCATATTTCGTTTTTCTAATAATGGGTTGAGCTTGTCTTCTAGGCTGGGCCACTCAAAGCATTAATAATTCTAAGATTGTGGATTTCATCTTAATATCTGTATGCCATCCTAGTTTATTCTTCCATAAGCCTTAGAAGCATTATGGTAATGATTTTGAGGTTGCCTTTCTTACATAAAGCATAATGCTATCTTCATCAGAAAAGTTTGGCATAAGAATTAAACCAAAAGACCATCATAAACAATTCATAAAAACTCTTAAATATATGCTTTCGGATACTTGTGGAGACTATTTTGGTACCACTTCCAGTGAAAATGATGTATTTAAGTATACATAATCTGGAAAGGTGTTTTGTTTTGCGGATATATTTTCCTCCTGGAAAATCACATGGATTGGTGATGTAGATAGGATATCTCATGAAAGAAATGTCAGAGCAGCCATTGTGAACAACTTTTAGAATAACTTTGTCCTTACCTAAAAACATATTTTGTTTTAGACTACATTTCAAAAAGATTCCACAGAATTAGTCTACACTAGAGACCCAGTACTAGCCCAGGTTCGGTGAGTGTGCGGAGAGCTTCCTGCTACCCTGCGCCAGCGGGACAATTCCCAGCCCAGACGTAGAGTGGGCCGGACCCTATCCCAGCACCTTGGGCCACCCCCTACCACTCCGCAGTGCCTCCCCTACCCGCCCAACGAGTAGGATTTTCTGCCGAGTTCCGGGAGCCCCCA